AACAGAGAAGTGAAAAGTGGAAAAGAGGAGTGAAAAACAGAAAATAAGAAACCAAATGTTAAACATAGATTTATGTCTAATCATATCAAAGTTACAATTAATTATATACCAAATTAATTAAAAAAGATTGTTAGAATTGTTTAAAAGAATAATGAGCTAATTTTATGCTGTCTAGAAGAAACACATTTTAAGTGTAAAGCTATCTGATATATCATTTCAAAGAGAGCTGGGATAGCTGTGGTTTAGTAAAGTAGGCTTCAGTGCAAAGAAAATTACTATGGGTAAAGAGGAACAGACATGAAAGGGTAAATCAATCAAGAAGATGAAACGGGGCCAGTAGGTGGAATAGTGGTTAAGGCACTGGATTCTGACAATTCCAGTCCTGGACCAGCGGCTTGCAAATCTCCTCAGGTGTGTGTGCACGTGTCCCCAAAATCCTGAGGAGAGATTGAAGGAGAAAGGATTGTGGAGGGGCTATCTCCCTTTGTCGGGGGTGGTGACTGCTTGCTTTCCCTCTCTGTGTCTCTCTCCTGTGAGAGCCCTAGGGCCAGAAAAATAAAAAAAGAAAGGAAAAAAAGAAGACAAAACCATCTTAAATTTGTGTGCCCTAATGATGAAGCTTCAAAATACACAAATTGAAAGGAAAAAAATAGATATAGTTGGATATTTTAACACTTTTCTTTGATAGTGGTATAAAATCAGCAAAAATACAAAATAATTGAGCAATACTGTCAACCAAATCCAATGAACGTGTATAGATTATGCCACCCCAAATGGAATACTAATTTTTTCAAGTGCACATGGAACAGTCATTATGGCTGACAGTATCCGGTTCATAAAACAAATGTTAAAAAATTTAAAACAGAGACTAAAAGTCATCCTCTGACCATAATGGAATCAAGCTAGAAATCAGTAACAGAAAACAGAAAAATCTCCGAACACTTGAGAATTAAACCCCTCATGTCTACATAATTCATGTTTGAAATGAAATAAAATAAAAATATATATTTAAATGTGTAGAATACAGTTCAATCAGTTCTTAGAGGGAATTTTCTGGCATTTAATATTTATATCAGAAGAAAAATCTCAAATCAATAACCAGACCTTTCCTATGTGAACTAGAAAAATGAGAACAAAAGTGATGTTCAGGGACTTTTTCTTTTTTCTTTTTTTTTTTTTTTTTGAGAGGTTTTCGTTATAGGACAGACAGAGACATAGAGACAGAAAGTGAGAAATCACTCCCCAGGGAGGATGGCCACGCTGCAATCACTTCTCTATTCTCCTCTTGGTATCTTGGGCATGCACGCACATGCACCCGGCGTGAGTTTTAAGCCACCGGGTCCAGGACGCGAACCGCGGTCGACTATGTGGGAGTCCAGCAACATAGCCATTACGCTAACTGCTGGTTCCCAAGGGACTTTTGAGGTTAGGTTTTGCTCTGCTTGGTAGTGAGCTGCCATGTAAAATTCTCACTGCCCTGTCAATACCAGGATGTGAGGAAGCTAGCCTAACCAACACACGGTGGTTATTCCCTAACTTGGCTTGGGAGGCCTGTAAACAGCTCACAAGTCATTAGTAATGGCCTGTGTATCAGCAGTAATCCCACGCTGTTAAAAATTCTCCACGACAATCAGGAAGCACAGTCCTGGAGATAATAACGAGATGGCCTTTCTTCCCAGTATTTGCCACCTCAAGCAGCTCTTGGTATTTGGCACCCAAAAGGATTTTCTGGGAAATGTAGTGTGTGTAAAAATGCATTCATACGCTTTACTGAAGACTTCCAATAACGATGGTGGGCCAGATTACATTTATTTTATACTTATCTTGTATCTATAGAGGTCCTGGAACCAATCCCTCATGGGTACTGAAGGATGACTATGCTGTTCGTTTTACATGTTGTTGGATTCAACTTGCTGATATTTTCTTGAGGATTTTCTATGTATATAGGGAATATTGGTTTGTAGTAGCATTACTTTTTTTTTTTTTTTTTT